GAATGCATTGGAAATGATTTTACTATAGGAATTCATTGGAAATGATTTTACTATAAGAATGCATTGGAAATGATTTTACTATAAGAATGCATTGGAAATGATTTTACTATAAGAATGCATTGGAAATGATTTTATTATAAGAATGCATTGGAAATAATTTTACTATAAGAATGCATTGAAATGATTTTACTATGAGAATGTATTGGAAATGATTTTACTATAAGAATGTATTGGGAATGATTTTACTACAAGAATGCAATTTTTTACTATAAGAATGCATTGGAAATGATTTTACTATAAGAATGCATTGGAAATGATTTTACTATAAGAATGCATTGGAAATGATTTTATTATAAGAATGCATTGGAAATGATTTTACTATAAGAATGCATTGGAAATGATTTTACTATAAGAATGCATTGGAAATGATTTTATTATAAGAATGCATTGGAAATGATTTTATTATAAGAATGCATTGGAAATGATTTTACTATAAGAATGCATTGGAAATGATTTTATTATAAGAATGCATTGGAAATGGTTTTAATATAAGAATATATTGGAAATGATTTTACTATAAAAATGCATTTGAAATGATTTTACAATAAGAATGCATTGGAAATGATTTTACTATAAGAATGCATTCGAAATGATTTCATTCTTGCGATAAATTGCGGCTTATTTTCCTACAGGAATTGATACTAGAAAGATCTATGACTGTGAGAAGTCGAATATCAAGAACTGTTTAAAAAATGTCCTATAAATGTCAATCGTTAGTAACGGTAAGTCAATGAATGGCGAATATCATCTTTTGCGGGGAGTAACTAATTCCACGACAAGCATTAACTTCATTCGCTCACTCTAATCACAGAGCCAAGGTTCAGATTTGGATTAGACAACTAATTTTACAGCATTATGTCTCCAATCTGGTTCACCTCTGCAAAAAACACGCACATCGAAGACAAGAAAAACAAGCCAATATCTAAACGAGCAACAAGGAAGAGAGAAAATCTGAAAGGAAAAAGATCAAGACATGGAATAAAGGTCCAGCGAGGTTAGCAAGTCAGCCATATTTGTTTGAGAGTTTCTGGGAGCTTTACGCGCGCTTATTTGCCGCCATTCTCTCTTCTTCGCTTAATTTGAATATAAATAAACAATTTCCAATTAGGCAAAACTGTGTCTCGCTCGTACCGCTTCGAACAGCTCAATTCGCCGACATTATTACATAGATCCCATGTCCTAAATTATATATTAAGGTGGCGTGATTTGGGAGCAATTCTTGAATATGTCAACACTTCTTACAGGATTTTCTATTTTTTCGTTGTCGTCTTTTTTCGTTTTTCTTTCCTCTTCCGTTTTTGCAGTGTATTTTTGTCTTTCTTTTACACCCTGTTATTTCATTCAATTATCCTCTTTTTTTTATTTTCCTCTTTCTCGTTTATACTTTCATTTCTTCTTATTTTTCTTTCGTTTTTTTTTTCTTTTTTCATTTCATCGTCTTTTTTCTTTCATTTTTTTCTGATGTCTTTTTCCATCCTTTTTTTTTTTGTTCATTTTTTTCTTTTCTTCCTCTTTTTTTTCATTCGTATTTCGTTTCTTTCGCTTTTAATTCATTTCTTCTTATTATATTTTTCCACTTTTTCATTCATTTTTCCTAATTTCTCTTCCTTTTCCTTTTTCTATTTTTCATTCATTTTTTTTTCTTTTGTCTCTTCTGCAATTTTTATTCATTTTTTCTTTTTTTTTCCACTTCTTTCGTTCGTTTTACAAGTTATTTTTAATCCTTTCTTTTTCAGTCATTTTTCCATTTTTTTCTTTCTCTTTTTCTTCGTTTTTTGTTCTTCATTTTCATTCAGCTATTTCCTTTTTTTCATTTTTGTTTCCATAATTCTTTCTTTCTTTTTTTTTAATTGTTTTATTTTTCTTCCGATTTCATTCAATTTTTTTTTTTTTTTCATTTCTCCATGTTTTTTATTCATGTGTTTCCGTATATTTTTTTAAATTTTTATTTTTTTTATATACATCTTTTTCACTCACTTTTCATTTCTTCTTTTCCGCTCGTTTCCCACTTTCTACTTCTTCCTCTTTTTCCGCCATTTTCATTATTTTTCTACCTCTTGTTCATTCGTTTTTATTCGTTGTTTTTATTCCATTAATTCATTCATTTTTATATTTCGACTTTTTATGTCTTTCCTTCTTTTTTCTACTTTTTTTTTAACATCATGTGTTTTTCTCACCTTCTATATCCCTTTTGCTCTTTTCACCTTTTTTTTCATCAAGTTACCTTGGCTTTCTCTCTCTCTCTCTCTCTCTCTCGCTTTCTCTCTTTCTCTCTTTCTCTATCTATCTATCTATCTATCTATCTATCTATCTATCTATCTATCTATCTCTTTCCTGCTATCTCCCCTCTCTCTTTCTCCCTGTCTTCATCTTTCTGTTACGTGGCCTCTCACAAGTTCTTTGCTTGCAATTTCTTTTCTTACACTTCTCGCTCGTCTAACTCTCTTTCAGCTTCTTGCTGTCCTGTTAAGTTTCATTTTGAAAAATCTAAAGGCAATGTCAATCGTTATCTTATGTTCTTTAATTTATGTTCTTTTAGTGTTCCCGCTCCTTAGATAGATAGATAGATAGATAGATAGATAGATAGATAGATAGATAGATAGATAGATAGATAGATAGATAGATAGATAGATAGATAGATAGACAAGATAGATAGGATAGATAGATAGATAGATAGATAGATATTACAAGACTGGAGATAGATAGATAGATAGATAGATAGATAGATAGATAGATAGATAGATAGATAGATATTACAAGACTGAGGATAGATAGATAGATAGATAGATAGATAGATAGATAGATAGATAGATAGATAGATAGATATGAAAAGACTGAAGTTAGATAGATAGATAGATAGATAGATAGATAGATAGATAGATAGATAGATAGATAGATATGAAAAGACTGAAGTTAGATAGATAGATAGATAGATAGATAGATAGATAGATAGATAGATAGATAGATAGGTAAATACCCAGACAGATCTTCATAATCCCAGTAGAAGCCACAAATCCTGCATCAAATTTCATTCTGGTATAAATTTAAGCCGATCAAAAGATTGGAGAATTACTTCAAATATGTCACTTCACTCTCTCTCTCTCTTTCTCTCTCTCTCTCTCTCTCTCTCTCTCTCTCTCTTTCTCTCTGATTTTCTCGCCAAATCTCGCGTGATCTAACGCAATGGCCGGTTCAGAATCACGTTTTTCTTTTAGATGACTTTTCCCAGTTTTGTCCTTCTTAACATTTTTTTCCCTTCTTCCCAGCCTCTTCGTCTTCTGATTCGTTATTCCGAATTTTGTTGAAAAAATAATTCAGTTAATTTTTTTTTTTCAGAGCAAATGAGGTTTTTATTTTGTAGACTTTTCAATTTTTTTTTATATTTTTTTTTTTCCTCGAATATTTCATTTCTCTCTGACATGTTTTGAAACGTTAACTTTTGTTTTTTCTCTTGTATTTTTTTTTTTAAATCTATTTTGGTTTCAGGCAAAAGTGCACTCTCTTCATTTTTTTTTTTTTCATGTCTTTTTTTTTTTTCATCTAACTTTGCTTCTTAAATCTTGTTTGGCTTCAGGCAAATGATGAACGCGGGATAATTTCTATTTACAATTTCCTTGAATGGCATTTTCCTTTGGTAATTATTTTGACAAGAAAATTTTATTAAAGCCCTTTTTGCGATATCCCCAACATTATGATAAATACAATTCTATTTGGTTAGATTTTACATTGGTAGCTGCATTAAAGATCAAGCGGCAACAAGTCCTCCGCGGAAAAATCCCGCACCTTCCTCAGTATTCTTGCCAAATTTAATATCCACGGATTTATAATAATTTTCTCTGAATTCAATTTTTCTATTTTTTTTTTATTTCTCCTTTTTTTTTTCAATCATTTTTCCTTTTTTTTTCTTTCTCTTTTTTCTTCGTTTTTTTCTTTCTTCTTTCTTTTTTCCCCTCTTTTTCAGTGAACTATTTTTTTTTGTTTTTTCCTTTTTATTTATTTTTCCGTATTTATTTTCTTTCTCTTTTTTTTATTCGTAGTTTTTTTTTTTTTTTTTTTTTCAATTTTCCTGTTTTTCACATCTTCCTCTTTTTTTTTTTCGGTCACTTTTTCCTTGTGTTTTCTTATCACCTCCCCACCCCTGCCTCCATGTTTTCGCATTTGGAATAATTCTCTCTGATGCCAGTGACTTTTCGGACCGTCTTGGACATAATAATTAACTACATTCAACGGCAAGACCTCTTGGTTTTCAGCTATGTGGGACTACCTCTTAATTGATGTTGTTCCTAGGTCCCCACTAACCCAGGGTGGTAGCACCTGTTAGGGTCCCAACTATGGGCAAATAGTTAAACCCCCAAAATGGGGTCAAACATTATGATATTAGAAAAATACATTTTCATGGTAAAAAAACCAGCAATACATTTTATTTTTAAATAAGATTACTAATGCGCCCCTAAAAAATTTATCTCGGCCTTAAATGACCCATAAGTTATTATTATGCTGCTAAACAAGGAAATCCTCATCCTTTTCAGATTTCAAAAGAATTTAAACATTTTTTCTTTCATAGTCCTTTTTTTTATTATTCATTTATTCATAGTACTTTGTTAGTATGATTCTACAAGACCATTGTTTTAGGAGTCTTTTTACTAGCAGAAAAACGTCCCATGCCTTATTAGGGCCGTGGAGGTATTATGAACTGCCGATGTAATAACAGTGGGTTTGTCTAGGGCAAGAGAATTGGTTTTTAAATTCAGAGTTTTCATTCTCGTTAGACTGATTGCCTGTGTCCAAGGCTAGAATAGCCCAGTATACCTTATTATTTTACCAATACTGTTTCAAACGTCGTTACAATGGTGGGTGTAAGTTTATATGTGTGTAGTGTTTTTTTTTTGTTTTTTTTTTCTTAGCGAGATTTATCACATCTGATTCTTGTAAAGAGAGTGCATAGCAAGAAAGTGTCAAATACTTACAGGAGCGCTACAGGAGACCGATTATTTTTTTCATCATCTTTGGCGATGGCTCGAATATATCTATGAGTTTAACTTGATATGGATATGGCAGCAATCCTCCATTTTTGGGGTTTCATTCGGCTCTTGTAAAGATAGCTTATAACTGGGGAAGTCAGATACTTATTGGAGCGCTATACTGAACCGACCATTTTCCCAGCTTCTTTAGCTATATATATATATATATATATATATATATATATATATATATATATATATGTGTGTGTGTGTGTGTGTGTGTAAGCAAATATATGGATATAGATCCGACAGTATGAAGAAAAATACACTGAAAAAACAAACAAAAATCCTAATATGCGATTATGCTGTTTTAACGTTTAATGTCAACGTCGGACGTTTCAGTCTAATAGACCATCTTCAGGACAAATTTTAGGAATACGTTTTCACAACATCGCCCACGTGACGACGACGCGATCATATTTAAACGGAACGCTGGTCTTATAAAAGATTTCAGTTATCTGTTTGGATTGGTATCCATCGTCTTTTTCATGTTGAATTGTATATGGTCTATGTTAGTTATGTTTTATGAATATGTCCTGAAGATGGTTTATTAGCCCGAAACGTCCGACGTTGACATTAAACATTAAAACAGCATAATCGCATTTTAGGATTTTTGTTTGTTTTTTTCGGTATATTTTTTTTTATATATATATATATATATATATATATATATATATATATATATATATATATATACAGTGCTGTTCGATAAAAGTAACTCACCTGATTTTTTTACTAAATGTTCTCGTCTCCGATGAAACGAAAGTTGAGCTAAATTTAAAGGATAAGTCGATCTAAAATCCGAAGAAGCTTGTTACTCACCTGCTTTTTCGAGAGCCTGTACTTTATAATGCCCCATATGCTTTTTATGGGGTTTAGGTCAGGAGATTGGGGCGCCCATTTCATAACACTTACCTGCTTCTCATCAAAGTATTCCTTCATCAATTTTGATTTGTGACAGGGAGCATTATCCTGCATAAAAATGAGCTTGGTGGGGTCAATTTGCACCCTTTCAGTAGAAGGGAGCAGACAAGACTCTAAAATTCTCTTGTACTGCTCGCCCCTAAGGGTCTTTTCAATAGGTTTTAAGAAACCAGTCCCATGAAACGAAAAGCATCCCCAGAAGATTAAACTGAACGGATGCTTGACAGTATTTACTGCTAAATTCAAAGAGATTTCAAAGCTTCTTCTTCGGATTTGAGATCGCTTATTCTTTGAATTTAGCTCAACTTTCGTTTCATCGGAGAAGAGAACATTTAGTAAAAAAAAAAAATCAGGTGAGTCACTTTTATCGAACAGCACTGTATATATGAGTTTAAGTTGCTATCCATATGCCAGCAATAATAACAAAATACGAAGAGTATTAGGAGGAATAACACTTGTGTACGCGACGCGGTGCGTCCCTGATGTAAAGGTCAGGGTTGGAGGAGCTAAGAAATGTGCCTGGTCAGGAGAGTTTTGTGGAAATAGCGTTAGGACAGCGAGAAGCTCGCACCGTTTCGTCTGTGGGGAAAGGTGGTGTAGAGTGGAAACTAATTAATTACTCTCAAGGACCTATAGACGCTTTTGAACTCAAAACAGGAAAGTGAGGGTTCGGAGGCTCCAGTCAAGATATGGCAGCAATATTCCATTTCATTTTTGGTCTATCTGGCAAGGTGAGTCAGATACTTACTGCAGCGCTACAATGTACCGACCATTTTCTCCACACCTTTAAGGATGGATCGAATATATATATATATATATATATATATATATATATATATAGGTGACCCCCAAAAATGGGAATTTTTGAAATGCCTATTGCCAGACATGAGCAAGTGACAACACTGCGAGACAGTGACCTTGAGCAAGTAAACATTTCGCCATTTAGAATTCAAGATGGAATTCACAGTATCCCAGCTGAGATATTGCAGCAGTCAATGAGGAATCTCAACAGCAGATTTCAAGAATGCATTCGTACAGGAGGACGCCATCTACAGGACATAATTTTAAAAAAATGAAAATTCCATCATTGTTTCTTAAATGGCTTTTTAATGTTTCAATAACTAGGAATCAAATATTTTTCTTCCATCACTCTTGGTTTTATTGGATTGTTAAAAAGTTCCCGTTTTTTGGGGTCACCCTGTATATATATATATATAAGTTTAACATGATATGCATATACCAGCAATACACCAATTTTTGGTCTCATCTGAATCTTATAAAGATGGATTGTAGCAGGCGGTGGGGGGAGTTATATACCAGTTGGAGCGGTACTAATGTACCAACTATTTTCTGATCGAAGTGTACGGAAAAGTGTAGAGATTATCTAAATAGGGATTTAGTAAGTGTAGTTTATATATGGCACAAAACGAAAGAATCAGGAACCCTCTTAGGACAGAATTCACTAATCAGATGTAATTAAACTTTTTTTATATTA